TTGGACATGAGTGACACCCTTTGGGCATATTCTATACCCTATTGAATATTTCTGTTTACAGTTCACACTATGGTTGTGTATTTCTCTTTATAGGTTTTTCACACCTCGTATGTAAAATCAAGATTATTCCATTTGTTGGTATTATTAAAATCTTTTTATCTCTTACATAAGGATTCACATCTAGTATATATACTTTATTTTGCAAATAATGAAATACAACAATAAATACATTTTAATAAATCTGAGGATGTCACTATTAAAATAGCATAACCTCTTTAGCTTATTGTAGTGGTGTTATTGCTTTTTTAAACATTTTTTGCTGTTGTTCCATTTTTTGTTTTCCTGTTGTTCCATTGTACAGTGACAAAAAGGGGACCTTCCCGGCACCCAAATATTCCTTGTGCCCTCACAGAGGTGTGGTGATTATGGTACTTGTGTCTCCTTAGTTTTTTTCTAACTAAAGCACATTACAAATCTCGATCAAGATGTTAAGTAGTAAAAGGCCGGCGTGTAATGCAATGCTTCCCTCTGTGATTCATTTAAAGAGGTAGCCATAGAGCTGGACAGATTTTTGCAATTTGCTGCAGTTTTAGTTACTAAAAGTTAGACAGGGATTTGGCACTTTGGATGTCCATTTGTATTGATTAGCTAGATTCTGGCAGTCCCCAGCATTGGTCACTACTCCAGATAAAAAATTATAGACTAGTCCAGTCTTTTATAGTTGACATTTTGTAAAGAGAAGCCAGTATAAAACATAATGATAAAAGATGTGATCACTAGTCTAATGCAATATCACAGGCTAATTTAACCTAAGAAAGAACGTGAATTATATTACAGCAGGAATTAATTCAGCACATTTAATCAGATAGATCCTGAGTGAAATAATTTGCTGTGCGCTGAATGGAAAATGCATTTGCATGAATGAAGGGCAATGCTCAGTTATATTACCTTTACTTAAGGTGGGCAAAGAAGGTATTTGATAAGACCAGGCATATCAAGAAAATCCACTGATGTGTTCCTTGCACTGTTTTATCAAATAATGACAAAAATCAAATAGTCATACTTTGCAAACAGAAGGTTTATTCACTAAACAGTGATTTGAAGTGAATCGAAAGCAGAATTATTTTTTCAATTTACTGCGACTGCCAGTTTAGTGAACAAACATAATCAGGGTTTAAATGAATACTAGTCACCCAAACCACTTTATCTTGGTGCATCACTAGTGTCCTCTTAAATCTGCAATGTAAAACATTGTAGGTTTTGTAAAATTGCAATGTTTACATTACAGGGTTAAAGTGGAACTGTCACCATCTGTGGACTTTGCATAAATTGCAAAGACCCCCAAGGATGACAAAGGTAAAGGTGAGTTAAACTTACCTTTCCCTCGCAGGCACCATCATCCTCATCCAGCCAGTCCTGTTCTGATCCTGGAGCTTTGCTCCAGTAGCCAATATCACTGCTGTACTGTCAAACATATACATGAGTACAGCATTGAGGTCTATGGAGGATCCCATCAGACTATTGGAATCCATCATAGACAAAGCCAATTTCACTGAAGCCGTCACTGGTGGCAGCTGGGGGATTGACACTATGCCCAGCGTCAGAAACGGATGCCCCCGTTGATGCCCAGTGTCAGAAAGTATCAGGCACAGGAGAAATACTGGAACAGAGAGGCACAGTGGTGTTAAGCAAAATAGTGTTATGTTGAGAAAGAAAAAAAAAAAGATATCAAATAAAATAATAAATAAAAAATAAAATTTCACACAAAACAAAAATACATAGAAAACAGTATGGGGTGGACCCCCTTCTCACATAAGGATTACTTTGGGGAAGCAACATGGGACAAATTCACAGGTGATATAGGGCTGTCCACATCGAGGCAACGTTGTGTCCCCTGAGCTGCCGAGCCCTCATCTGTCCCTACCCTGCCAGTCCCAGCACTCAGAGTTGAAGTCAGTCCACCGGACCCCACCTTCATCAGTACGGGGTAGGGGGAACGAGGCCAGGCCCCCAATCTCATCAAGCCCCCAAAAACGCATCACTGCGGGCAGCAACTCCAACCTCCATCCGGCCAGCAGCCATCAGTCCCCCGTCCGTCTGGGTGTCAGCAGGACTATGCCTGCCAGTAGGCCCGGGGTGCTGGCAGCGTTGGTATCTGGTGGCAATCAGATCAGGAACAGGATCACCAGGCAACCAGAGGCTTCCCATTAACATTGCTGGCAGGTATGTTAGCACCAGCAGGCACAGTAGGCATTAAATTAGTTATTTTAGGGGGCCCAATGTCAGAGCTCGCAATGATTGCTACAGCTCCGCTCGGCGCCCTGCCCCCCAGAGTTCAATCATTTTGGTTACAACTGTAGATCATGAACCTGCAGCCTCACTGCTCATTTCTTGCAATTTAGGAGTTAAATTATTTTATTTATTTATCCCCAGTCACACAACTACATGTGACATGCTCCTAAGATGTTCTTGTAAAATGACATATAATGTTAAAAAAAATGTTATTGCACAATCTATTTAATTTAGAATTTCTTATCTCCTTCTCTATTAATAGTGTGCTAGAGCCTCCAGTAGCCTGCGTGATTAAAGTTCAATTTACAGAACAGAAGTTAAAAAATTAAGAAATAAGTTAACATTTGATTAAAAATGAATACACTTTTTTCTCAAGATTATTGTGTCAGTTACAGCCATGAGAGTGTGGCTAAAGCTGCATAAACGGAAACAAATTGAAGGAAAGCGACCACAGTTAGGAAAAAGGACACATGAGTCATATGTGAGTTTACAGAGGAGGAGGTCCTATTTCAACTGTCAATAGTAAAGATAAATAAGTCAATGGGGCCTGATGGAATACACCCAAAGTTATTATGCGAGCTTAATGGTGTACTAGCAAAATCATTAACAAATTTATTTAATCATTGTTAACAGGAGTAGTCCCAGAAGATTGGAAATTAGCGAATGTTGTGTCCATTCACAAGAAAGGTAGTAGGGAGGAGTCGGGCAACTATATGCCAGTAAGCCTTAATTCAGTAGTGGGGAAGGTGATGGAAACCATATTAAAGGATAGGATTGTTGAACACAGGGCCGGACTGGGAAAAAAATTCGTCCCGGGCATTTTTTTATCACAGCGGCCCACTAAGAAGGGGGCGGGGCAGCGAGGGTGTGTTTTGTCATCACTCCTGACAAACACGCCCCCTCTCAAAGTGAGCATGTTGGTTCAATGCTCTTCCAGGGCAGACCATGCACAGAGCTCTGCTGAAGAGCTCTAGCATGAGAAAAAAGCCCTGTATTTGTTCTGCACAGTGCAAGCAAATTTAATAACATGCTTGCACTGTGTTTCCTTGCAACTTGTCTCTGGTGTCTCTATAAATGGATACCAGGAGACAAAAGGGCCAGGAAAGAGTATTGTGCATGTGTTTGGAGCCTGCTTGGGGTATTGCGTGTGTGCAGAGTGAGCTGGCGTGGTGTGGTATTGTGTAATAAGGTCGGTTTTAGTCGTGTTGTGTTTGTGGTGTAATGTAATGCATATGTGGCTAGGGGCTTTAGAGAATGTGTGTTTAGGGGATGTAGCAAGTGTGTGTATACAGGCTATAGTGTGTGTGTAGGTGATGTAGTGTTTGTAGAGAGTGTGTGTTCAGGGAATGTAGTATGTGTTTGCTTACAAGGAATCTAGTGTGCGTATAGGGGATCCAGAGTGTGTGTGTGTTTGAAGGACCCAGAATATGTATAGGAGGTCTAGTGAGCGTGCGTATATAATGGATTCAGAGTGTATATAGGGATCTAGTGTGTGTATGTGTGTAGATGATCCAGAGTTGGGTAGAGGATCTAGTGTGTGTCTGGAATGAAATGTGTTTAGGGGTGCTGTGTGTGTGTGTGTGTGAGGAGTGCTGTGTGTATATTTATATGTGTATATATATTATATAAATATGTTTGGAAGTATTGTGTATGTGTGTGATGCAGTGTATCGGGGGGTTGTGTGTGTATGTGAGGGGTGCAGTATGTGTGTGTGATGGATCGTGTGTGAGGGTGCTGTGTGTGTGAGGGTGCTGTATGTGTGGGTGCTGTATGTGATTGATTTGTGTGAGGGTGCTGTGTATGTGGGTGTGAGAGTGTTGTGAGTGCTGAGTGTTATGTCTTTGAGAGTGATGTGTGAGAGTGCTGTGTGTGATAGTGCTGTGTATGTGTGAGAGTGCTGTGTTTGTTGTGTGTGAGTGCTGTGTTTGTTGTGTGTGAGAGTGCTGTGTGTGTTATGTGTGTGAGTGCAGAGTGTGTTATGTGTGTGAGTGCAGAGTGTGATGTGTGTGAGTGCAGAGTGTGATGTGTGTGTATGATGTGTGTGAGAGTGCTGTGTATGATGTGTGTGAGAGTGCTGTGTATGATGTGTGTGAGAGTGCAGAGTGTGATGTGTGTGAGAGTGCTGTGTATGATGTGTGTGAGAGTGCTGTGTATGATGTGTGTGAGAGTGCTGAGTGTGAGAGTGCTGTGTATGATGTGTGTGATGAGTGTGAGAGTGCTGAGTGTGAGAGTGCTGTGTATGATGTGTGTGAGAGTGTGAGAGTGCTGTGTATGATGTGTGTGAGAGTGCTGTGTATGATGTGTGTAGAAGTGCGAGAGTGTGAGAGTGCTATTGTATGATGTGTGTGAGAGTGCTGTGTATGATGTGTGTGAAGTGCTACGAGTGTGAGAGTGCAGAGTGTGATGTGTGAGAGTGCAGAGTGTGATGTGTGAGAGTGCAGAGTGTGATGTGTGAGAGTGCTGTGTATGATGTGTGTGAGAGTGCTGTGTATGATGTGTGTGAGAGTGCAGAGTGTGAGAGTGCAGAGTGTGAGAGTGCAGAGTGTGAGAGTGCAGAGTGTGAGAGTGCAGAGTGTGATGTGTGTGAGAGTGCTATGTATGATGTGTGTGAGAGTGCTATGTATGATGTGTGTGAGAGTGCAGAGTGTGAGAGTGCTGTGTATGATGTGTGTGTGAGAGTGCTGTGTGTGAGAGTGCTGTGTATGATGTGTGTGAGAGTGCTGTGTGTGATGTGTGTGAGAGTGCTGATTGTGATGTGTGAGAGTGCTGTGTATGATGTGTGTGAGAGTGCTGTGTATGATGTGTGTGAGAGTGCAGAGTGTGATGTGTGTGAGAGTGCTGAGTGTGAGAGTGCTGTGTATGATGTGTGTGAGAATGCAGAGTGTGATGTGTGAGAGTGCTGTGTATGATGTGTGTGAGAGTGCTGTGTATGATGTGTGTGAGAGTGCAGAGTGTGATGTGTGTGAGAGTGCTGTGTATGATGTGTGTGAGAGTGCTGAGTGTGATGTGTGTGAGAGTGCTGTGTATGACGTGTGTGAGTGCAGAGTGTGAGAGTGCTGTGTATGATGTGTGTGAGAGTGCTGTGTATGATGTGTGTGAGAATGCAGGAGTGTGATGTGAGAGTGCTGAGTGTGAGAGTGCTGTGTATGATGTGTGTGAGAATACAGAAGTGTGATGATAATGTGAGAATGCTGAAGTGTGAGAAGTACTGTGTATGATGTGTGTAGAATACAGAAGTGTGTGTGTGAAGTACTTGCTAGTGTGAAGTGCTGTGTATGATGTGTGTGAAATACAGAGTGTGATGTGTGAAGTGCTATAGATGATAATGTGTGAGAGTGCAAATTGTATGTGTGAGAAGTACTGAAAGTGTGAGAGTTCTGTGTATGATATTGTGTGAGAATGCAGAGTGTGATGTGTGAGAGTGCTGAAGTGTGAGAAGTGCTGTGTATGATATTGTGTAGGAAGTGCTGTGTATGATGTGTGTATTGTGAGAGTGCTGTGTATGATGTGTGTGAGAGTGCAGAGTGTGATGTGTGAGAGTGCTGTGTATGATGAGTGGGAGAGTGCTGAGTGTGAGAGTGCTGTGTATGATGTGTGTGAGAGTGCTGAGTGTGATGTGTGTGAGAGTGCTGAGTGTGATGTGTGAGAGTGCTGAGTGTGATGTGTGAGAGTGCAGAGTGTGATGTGTGAAAGTGCTGTGTATAAATGTGTGTGAGAGTGCTGTGTATGATGTGTGTGAGAGTGCTGAGTGTGATGTGTGAGAGTGCTGTGCTATGAGTGTGTGTGAGAGTGCTGAGTGTGAGGTGCTGTGTGTGATGTGTGTGAGAGTGCTGTGTATGATGTGTGTGAGAGTGCTGAGTGTGATGTGTGTGAGTGCTGTGTATGATGTGTGTGAGAGTGCTGAGTGTGAGAGTGCTGTGTATGATGTGTGTGAGAGTGCTGTGTATGATGTGTGTGAGAGTGCTGAGTGTGATGTGTGAGAGTGCTGTGTATGATGTGTGTGAGAGTGCTGAGTGTGATGTGTGAGAGTGCTGTGTATAAATGTGTGTGTGTGTGTGTGGGGGGGGGTAAATAAAGAAATAAAAAACTAAGGGGGGGGTAAATAAAGAAATAAAAAAAAAATTAAAACCCCCCCTCCCTCTTACATTTAGCCTGGGAGGGGGGACAGGCACGTGGTAGTTGGGAGGAGGGGGACAGGCACACTCACATCATCCCTGGTGGTCCAGTGGTGAGTGAACTCTAGCTTGAGGGCTAGAGTTCACTCTCACGAGATCGGCGCGTTGCCATGGCAACGCGCCGGATCTCGCGAGAGGAACCGGGCGGAGCTACAAGATAGAGCTCCGCCGGGTCCTCTCCCTCTCTCCCCAGCTGCAGGTCTGTTTAAATGGGCCGGTGGGGGAGATCTTCGATCTCCCCACCGGCCCTCCATGGCAAATAGCGGCAGGGGAGACCTCCCCTGCCGTCCTCGGCCCCGCGGCCCACCGGGCATTTGCCCGGTGTGCCCGATGGCCAGTCCGGGCCTGGTTGAACATCTAAAATGCCATGGATTTCAAAATCAGAGACAACATGGGTTTACTTCAGGGAGATCATGCCAAACTAATTTTATAGATTTTTTGATTGGGTAACTAAAATAATAGATCAGGGTGGTGCAGTAGACATTGCTTACCTAGATTTCAGTAAGGCTTTTGACACTGTTGCACATGGAATGCTCATCAATAAACCACAATCTTTAAGTTTGGATTCCAGTATTGTTGAATGGGTTAAGGAGTGGCTGAGTGACAGGCAACAGAGGGTTGTAGTTAATGGAGTATATTCAAAGCAAGGTCTAGTTACCAGTGGGGTACCTCAGGGATCTGTACTTGGACCCATTCTCTTTTTAAATATTTTTATTAGTGATATTGCAGAAGGTCTTGATGGTAAGTTATGTCTTTTTGCTGATGATACAGAAAATCAGGGTTGATGTTCCAGGAGATATAAGCTAAATGGCAAATTATTTAGGTAAACCAGAAAAATGATTAGAGCTGTGGCAACAGACATTTAATGTGAATAAGTGCAAGATAATGCATCTTGGATGTAAAAACCTGAGGGCAGATTATAGAATATTTGATACCCGACTAACCTTAACATCTGAAGAAAGGGATTTAGGGGTAATTATTTTAGATTACTTAAAGGAAGGCGGACAATGTAAGAGCAGCAGGAAATGCTACCAGAATGTATAATTGTATAGGGAGAGGTCAGGGCCGGCCTTAGGGGTGTGCAAGCTGTGCGGCCACACAGTGCAACATGGCTTTAGGTGGCGCCATGTGGCTGACACAGCTCACACATGGCAGGGTGTGAAGTGTGTGCAACTGATTGGATTTAATTTTCCTCCACCTTGGACTTTCCCCCCCCAAAAAAACAAATGGCCGTGTTGCCTGGTCTTACCGAATGGAGGTAGTGGGGCTTACTGAGCAGCAGAGGCAGAGTTAAAATGGCGTGTGTGTGACTGCAACTGTGTGTGTGTTTGTGTGACTGTAATTGTGTGTGACTGACTGTAACTATGTGTGTGACTGCAAATGTGTGTGTTGTATGACTATCCCCTATACAAACACTATACCCTTATCCACAGACGCTGTCAAGATTTTTGACACAGGGCACCTAAAGGCCTAAGGCCAGCCCTGGGATGGGTATTAGCAGTAGAAAGAGCTAAGTGCTCATACTATTGTACAGAACACTGGTGAGACCTCACTTGGAGTATTGTACGCAGTACTGGAGACCGTATCTTCAGAAGGATATTGATACTTTAGAGAGAGTTCAGAGAAGGGCTACTAAACTGGTCCATGGATTACAGAATAAAAAAAACTTACCAGGAAAGTTTAAAGGATCTTAACATTTATAGCTTGGAGGAAAGACGAGAAAAATTTTATGTTATGTCTATAATGTACTTTAGGACACATTTAGGACACGGTTGGGAATTTTTCCAAGACTGGTTGATCATTTTGTAATTTTGTATCTCTGTAACTAATTGTAACTAGTTTCATAACTACACTTTGCATCAAGGGGGGCTGTTATATCTATTTGTCTATGCATTTGCATACCAAACACATTTACAGATAGTTTAAAATATAATGTTAATGTGTGCAGATGTATATATATGATTCATTCATTAATGGTATTGTTAGAAGACAATGCCACCTGGTGGTAAGCTGTTTAAGTAATACCTCGGTATCAAATTTAAACTGTGCTAGTAAAATAAAAATAACTTGGTCTTCTTTCACAATTCTGTTATTTATAAAGTCCACCTGTCATGATAAAAATAACTATAGTCCTCTGTAAAGAGTATACAAACTGATCTACACATTGCAGTAGCCAATTCTAGTAAATATAGATAATTATATTTAGCTCAAATATTCAGTTTGCATCTGCAGGCTAGACACAATGATATATACTTACTGTGCCTTGTTGGGAAACTGTGTCAAATGCATAGTGAATGCAAATACTGCGTAGGATATTCTACTTAGCAAAGGGGGAAAAATAATAAAACATAGGTTTCAAAATCACTAAAGTGGGAATTGTTAGGAATCCAAAGTGAATTTCAAATTTATGTCAAAATAGTTCAATTGCTGCTTGAATTCACCTTGAATTTTTGACATTTCATATAGTGAATACCTTCTTTGAGGGCAATTTACCAAATCACCAAACTGCATCATGTCTGCTACCGGTAGATTAAAAAACAATGTATCTATCTGGGATATTTGATACATACACGGTTGAAGTTATGACTGGGCTTTCAGCTGCCTTTTCCCTTATAGCTGCTCTTCTAGAAAAACCTTGCCTTCAAAAATGGCACTGTACTCTCTACCTGTGCTAGGTTTGTTGACTAACAATTTCAATCAAATTTAACCCCTTGAGGACTGGACTGTTTTTGCGATGTTGTACATTTGCGACCAGGCATATTTTTACACTTTTGTGGTGTTTGTGTTTGGCTGTAATTTTCCGCTTTCTCATTTACTGTTCCCATACAAATTATATATTGTTTTTTTCAGGACAAAAGGGGCTTTCATTACATACCATTATTTATATAATCTCATGTATTTTAATTTTAAAAAAATAAAAAAAATGATGAAAAATTGAAAAAAATACATGTTTTTTGACTTTTACTTGAAAAATCTTTTACTCATCTACAAAAGCGAATGAAAAAAACTGCTAAATAGATTCAAAATTTTGTCCTGAGTTTAAAAATACCTAGTGTTTACGTGCTTTTTTGCTTTTTTTTGCATGTTATAGGGCTATAGGTACAAGTAGGATATTGCGGTTTCAAAACATACATTTTAAAATTTATCAATAGTGACATTGTAACACTATTATCTGTCATAAATCTCTGAATAACACCCCACATGTACATATTTTTTTTAAAGTAGACAACCCAGGGTATTCAATATGGGGTATGTCCAGTCTTTTTTAGTAGCCACTTAGTCGAAAACACTGGCCAAAGTAAGCATTCATATTTGTTTGTGTGTGAAAAAAGTAAAAAAACTAAATTGAACGCTAATTTTGGCCAGTGTTTGTGACCAAGTGGTTACTAAAAAAGACTGGACATACCCCATTTGCAATACCTTGGGTTGTCTTCTTTTGCAAATGGTATGCCATCATGGGGGTAATTCTCATTCCTGGGCTACCATACGCTCTCAAAGGCAACGTAACCAACCTGGCCATTTTCAATGTAAAAATATTTGACCCATATATTTGACCTTGTAACTTTCAAAAATGCTATAAAACCTGTACATGGGGGGTACTGTTTTACTCGGGAGACATCGCTGAACACAAATATTAGTGTTTAAAAACTGGAAAACGTATCACAACAATTATATCATCAGTAAAAGTGCTGTTTGTGTGTGAAAAATGCAAAAAAAGTAACTTTCACTGTCAATATCATCGCTGTGATATGTTTTA